CTGACAGGTGACTGTACGAGCTGCTGGGCTGTGCTTGTTTGCTGCACATGAAGCTCAAGCTGATGCTCCTTGGATCAAGGGGTACAGATGGTACCCACAGAAGTGAACAGCAGCTCCTGAGCTGCTGTAAGTTTTGCTCCTTAAGTCAGAGCCATACAAAAGTCACCCAGAGCAACACTTGCAAAAAAAGACCACAGAGTTGTGGTGCATGGTTTGGAGTAAGCATTAATGTTTCTGACTCAGTTTCTTGAGCCGAGTGTCAAGAATCCCATCAGTTCCCAGACAAGTCAACATTTCACAGGCCAAGTCACAACAGCGTTCCTTGAGCTTCAGGAGAGCCTTTCCCACTAGGCAGGGCACTCCCGCACAGCCTGGCCTGTTCCACAACCACAACTGTTTGTCTTAAAGGATTTTCCCTGCCTTAGCTCAATGTCGAGAGACACCCTCCTCTGTGTCAGGAACAGACTTAAAGAAATAACCAAACTGTTTCAGGTTCATAAAGCAGCCAGTCACAAGAAGCATTTAAATAGATGGTAAAAGTTACCTGGGATACATCAACCTGAGTTAAACACTTTACTTGACTGAGCCTGTCTCTCTGGCTTGTGAGGTTTATCTTCCACAGCAAAACAGACATGTGAAACTGTGCTCTCCCGCAGTGGGTGCTTGAGGTAACTCCAACTCCGCTTCCTCTGAGGAGCAGATAACACCACCCAGTAGATAAGAGTCCACAAAGCAAATATTTTCTGAACAAAACCACCTAAACCAGTAAGTTACAGGAATTGCCCCTATTTTATTGTAGTTCTTATTCCTTAATTTACAGTAGAGACTAAAGCTTCCAACTGATTCCTAGGTGGAATACCATTAGCTTCTGTTCCTTAAACTACAACTGTAGGGAGTGTAAATAAAGTAGGTGAGGCTCCACAGAGTCCTGCACAGGAATTGTAACAAGTCTGATTTGCTTTTTCTCTTCCTTTAGAAGTTGGGTTTTAGTAATTCTGAAAACTTTTGTTAGAGCAGGAAAAGTGGGATTTGTTCTCTCTCTCCTTGGCCAACTGTTGGAGTTCTGCCATGTTGCATGCCTACAACAGCTCTACAAAGTAAGCACAAGGTGATTCAGTAACATGCATAGCCCAGGTAGATGAAATGACTTATACTGTTTAATTACATAAGAGTAAAGTACCTTCTATCACTGAAATCTGTACACAAGAGACTTCCACCACCACCATTTCTGAGGCTAAAGAGGAACTGTAGTTTGCATCAGTTATGGTTTTAAAGGGGACGGTATTAAACAAGGCTTTCTAGGCAAAGGCCAAGTGGGCTCATCCTTTGAGAATAAGACTACTTGGAATTACAATGAAATTCTCTGTGCAGAGCCTGGCACTACCACAAACCCATGGGAGTCCTCAAAGGTTCCAGATGAAACTGGTGTCAGAGCAGGTTTAGTGCTGTAAGGTTGTGTCCAAGGTGGTCCTTGCTGTGCATTACACCAACTGCTGGTGTTTCATCCCTCCACCCTGAGGTTTTTATATCTATTTACCTAAAAGCTGTATCTTTTCTACGTTCACAGTAGAAAACCACAGTGCAGGCACTGCAGGACAGTGTGGCTGTGCACTCGCCAGCACATATGCCTGGCCACCCTGTGAGTGTTTAAGCAATGTTTATGGAAAGGCCACTCATATATGTGTGCTTATATTTATCTGATGGCGTTGACAAAAGGATCATCTAATTTACTGAGGCACTGAGTAGTGTTACAAGGAAGTTATTTAGCACCTGTGAAGCCGAGTATCTAATACGCCTGTGTAGGTATTTGTGTGAAGCTATTTGCTCTGATGGGAGAATGTACCATTTAAAATTTACTGGAATATCTGCAGTATTCAGAGGGCAGTGTGGTGCAAGTATTCACCTAAAGATTAACACCACTGTGTAGCAGAACAGTGTTTTTCACAATGTCACCTTTAAATAGAAAAATAAATAGAGGCACAAGAATAATTTATGGCCCTGTGGCCATTTCCTTATGAAGCTGTAGTTTCATTATTTTAAAGGATATAACGTGCACTTTCATTTCTTTTCCACTTATGTTTTTATTATTATGGAATAAAAATAGAGAGTCATTGTTTACAGCGTTGCGTATTTTGACAACTGCTCTTTACAAATTCTAAGTTATCCTAGAACCATTGTTTCAATATACACAGTTCATCTTAATCAAAATAATTTCACAAACAATTTCACAGAAAGGAAGAGACCAGGGGAGATAAGAGAGAAATAACCTAGGAAACAAGTATGCCAGCGTACGAAAATAGATTGGAACATTTGGAGATTGTAGGTATGAAAATGTAGTCTCGATAACAGAGAATCTGAATTAGTGGATTATCTGAAGAGGTAATTGCTTACTGGAGGAGAAGCCAGATAGAAGCTGAGATCTATTTCTAACGTCTTCAATTTCTAGGCAAATTTATGAGGGAGAGGGAGAAATAGTCTCCAAGTTTCTCTCTGTGGGTGGAGGCAGCAAGCAGAGCAGGCAGCGTGCCAGTGCAGCGTCTCGGTTTCTCCCCTTCTCGTGCACAGCAGGCTGAGCACTGCACGCTCCAAGCCAGAGATCATCACCAGCTCCCCGGGAAGGGCAAGCGCAACGGGCATAGGTGTCTGTCCTCCTCCAGCTCACCCAACACAAGGACTGCTTTGAATTGCTCTCTGTAAAGTCTCTGCTCATGCAGCCTGCCTGATCCATGACATCTGTCTCCAAATAGCTTCTCCTGTTTGAAGCACCCTGATAGCTGTCACAAAGCCACCAGCGCAATAAATCAAGGCTGTGAGGGTCGAGTGGAGATTCAAACCTCTCAATTGGAAAACTGGAATCTATATGCAGTCTGGATATCATGGATATATGAGCTCCAAGTGCCTGTCATGAAGCATCCAAACTACTACAGCTACAGAAAATATCACAAGGAATTCCAAACCTTAAATATCCTCTATGGGCGACGAGTCTGTGCCATTTTCAGGAGAGGGATTTAAATAAAAATGCTTCTAGAGTGTCCAACCCCTGAAACTGGAGCACGTGCTCTGTCCCTTCAGATTGTGTTCTGCAGGAACACAAAGGAAGCTGTGAAGCATGTAGGAGCCAGTGGAGCAAAATATGGCTAAAGCATTTATGTGTTATTGCTACGAGGAGTTTTCTTAGAAATACAGGTTACTGTGGGTCTGCTGAGCAAGCTCTTCTTCCTAATCCACACCACCTGTGTAGATTCATGGATAATTTGGTTCTGACCTAGTTAAAAGCACAAAACAAAATTTACCTAGTTGCTTATTCAATATATCATGACATTTACTTCCAGCTAAGCCTGCAAAAAACTCTTCGTGAGCTGCACTTTGTTCCTCCGGGAAGAACATTTGGAGATGTGCTCTCCAGCTCACAGGCCAAACTGCTGCGCTGCCATTCAAAGAAGAGACTTGACTTGGATTTAAGAGAAAAAAGGTGTATTATTTTTGATTCAAAAGGATCAACAGCTACAATGTGCCTGACTTGGCACAGCTCTGCACCGATAAGGACAGAGCATAGCATCGGCACCAGAACTGCAAATAAGTCAGGCCCTTCTATCCATTCCTCAGAGTAAAAGGACTTTTAAATCCAGTGCTGCAGCTGCTGAAGACAGACGTCAAAAACTGTGATTGCACAGCCTCATCCCTTGGTATTGGCCAGCACAGGTGACCTGGAGCACAGGAGTGTGCCTGAGCCTTTCCAGAGGGGTTCTCAAGTTCTTAAGTGTGGCAGATTGCAGCCTGTCCTCCTTCACACTGATACAATCCCATTATCCATCTCACACTGAAGATCAGAGATAGAGTTCTCCTTTGATGCGCTCATCAGTATGATGAGAAACTTCTGCAAAGTTTCAGATCTGTCTTTCATTCGTTAATCAACACCTACCATATGTATTATATACATACACACATATGTAAAGAGCCTCCAGAGAAACATAGCATACAGTCATATATTCGAGAGAGCTGACATCATACAATGAGCTGTGAATAATGAGATTTAAAATATCCTGTGCTACCGAGGTACAGTGAAACCTGCTCATTAGCTTGCACTAGCACCTCCCGTCATTTTCTTTATCCTCTTTAAATCATCACCAAGGCATACAAAATGATTTTGTTCTACTTAAAGACCAACTCTGAGGAGGTGACTGATTTCTGCTGATCCTGGAGGTGGTTTCACAGGTTTCATTGTACTTGAAACTTCACAGCTTCCACTGAAGTATTTGATGCATGGATGTATCGGTTTAGCAGAGTACAAAAGTAGAATAATTTTCATTCTTGCCTCATATTGTTGACAGAGTATGATGTCCTTTACCAAACTGTTTCTTTTTACTTGACAACTTATCAAAAACTCACTTTCTAAATCCCAACCACCAATCTTAAAAAGTACTTGTTTTGAAGGTCATCAGGGCTCCAATACTTGTAATAAATTGCTGAATTTCTATTACCAAAACTTATTCACAGGTTTCTTCCATAAAAATAAAGATTTTCAGTAGTTAAAGTATCTACATTACACTCACTAGCACTGGTTAACAAAATCCCACCACACCTCACCTTGCAGCTTTCAGTCAACCGTCAGCTGGAATCCACCATGTGAAATTACAACCAATGGTCCCATCTTATCTCTCATATTGGTCAAAGCTGTAAAAATTTCACTTCAGGTCAAGGGAGTTAATGCCAACAGAGATGTCTTGAAAAGCCTGGATTGGGCCCCAAGGTCAGACCGATCCCTGCACACTGAACAGTGACAGATTAAGGGCTGAAGGGAGACGTCTGCGGTGCCTGCATCTTCTGTAGCACCCATCAATAAACCCACCTAAAAAAATGGCAGAACTTCCTCTGACTTGAAAGGGAGGAACATCATTGGGTACTATTACATTAGACTAGAAAGTACGCAGATTAGAGAGTGTGCATCTTCTCACTAGTGTACTGAAACTACACAAACTACTTTCTGTCAACAGGCGTCCTCAGCTCTTGGACCTGGGCAACTCTCTTATTCCATCGTCATCATCCTCAGAGCAAAGCAAGCTTAGCGCGCTTGTTACGGGATGGATCCATGATGTTGTCTGTGTCACGTGGCTAAAAAGAAACAAGAAATGCTATTAGCAACCCAAAAGAGGTTTATCGATTTCAAAGCAAGAAATACGAGATGGAGTCTGGAGTTGTCATGGTCATTACAACACTTTCAAATACAGAATCCTCTTTTTCTTGCTAACTATGAGATTTTTACAAACAAGACAGAGTCTTCTGGGTGCTAGAACCTGGACCAAAGATCCCATCACCCAATACATTAAAGGCAATGCTTTTGTAAGAGACTCCAGATACGGACTGTTGATACTTCCTGATAATTAATGAAGCTGTAAACAATGAACCCAGCAACACTGTACAGCCCAGACTAGCAAAGTCTTACAAAACTCCAGGTATTAACATTGCCATCATACCAGTTAAAGCCCGAGGCATAGTGGTCAAGAGGAAGTTGACCAAATGTGAAATCACATCATAGAAATATGTTTGTTAAAACATGAATTAATATTCTGGCATCATTAAGTCCTTCCTGTTCTTGCAGAAACAGGTTGATGAATAAATGAGAAGAACGATGTTCTTTACATGTCCTCTAGACCAAATTCTGGACGTGCTTCCACAGTCTTTATGCACACAATAAAACGGAGCCAGTGATACTTTTTCTAAGACTTAAACCCTACATTTGATATGTAGTCTAAGCTGCTTTATAGTTTTTTGTAAACTTCTATATGAATGGCAAGAACCTGACCAAGGCTCAGTAAGGACAGATAAACTGAATAGGCTTACTGTTTGTGGGTGAGAACACTGCACACCTTATGGTTGGTAGTATGCACACTAGCCATACTGTGTGTGGGCAAGACACAGCCTCTTCTCCCTTCTGGAATAATGTGTTCTTGATAAAGGAAATAGCTTCTTTTCACTTAAAAAAACCTTGCTAATAAATTCACAGTTTTTATAGTCAAGTCAGTGCAAAGATGAATTTTGTAATATAAGTTCATTACAAGAACTAGCTGAAAAATATTGTACATATAATATAAACCATAAAAGAGCTCTTCTCACAACTTCTAACACAGAATGTACCTAAAGCCCATGCCTATACTCACCTTTCAGGTGCATTGGTTTAATTAAACATGAAGTGCCATGATGGAACAACACCAGATTTACCTTTTCAAGTGAAAACAGATTTTGTCTCTCTGTCTTCAGGAATGCTCACTTGAATATCTGATTATAGAAATGGATATGTTGAAGTAGGAAACTCAGTCAATGTTACGGGTATGGGGATCACTATTCCAGTCAACATGATCATGCTGTGATTTTATCTTGTATTCACACCTTTCATTTGAGTAGACTGAGCTCAGAGTAAGTTGGCTTTGATGAGGACAACAGTACTGTTCACCGAGAAGTAGGTACGATGCTAACATAAACCACATCTCCAGCTGATGAACAGATTAACCTACCTCTGAACTGGTAATTTTTTAATGAAGCCACTACTTCAATTTAAGCAACCCCTAAGCAGGGACCAAGCAAGAAAAACAAAACATGGAAGATAAAGGCCATATCCTCAGTTCTTATCCTTCAATAAAACTAAACACAAAAGCTCCAGTTTTGTGTAGAAACAATTAATAAGTGCTTTTTTTGGTCAGAGCAGCACCGGATGGACTCCATTCCTTCATATTACAAAACGTGCATCACTTTACCAGGGCTGTAGCGATCAGTTTCACAGAAGTATAGACAACCTGTAGCTACAGAATGTACAACGCAGCAGATACTGATCATTCTTTAGTACAGTAATAATTCCATTCTCAGAAAGTGAATGTACTATTTTTTACGAGCAATGACAGCAACTTTCCCTAAGTTTCCAATGTTTACTTTTAGAAAGCCAACATGAAGCATATGAAGAGTCCTTTTACAGTGCTTTATGAGAGATTTGTGAATAACATGTCTGATCAAGAACATGATTTCCATTATTCCACAACACAGTGAAACATTCATATTATATATATAATGAATATATTTCTATTTGTAAACATACAAAGGAAAATGGCTTAATATGGCTTAATACAGAAGATAGCACTCTAAATTAAAGTCCCAGCATGTGATTTCATTTATCAGCACGGAACACAGAACTCCTTCCAACACCTGTGGAATCATGGGAGCCGAATAAACTGGATTCCATCCATTCCAGCTCTGCCAATGCAAGATTTATTGCCTGCAGTACTATTCTAAGTGTTTATATTGTCTGCGTTTATCAAGCCATTTCTCAGCAATCCACTGCTGAATTTAAATAAGAACAAAATGATTTGTAAATTCTACTTTTTCCCATTTGGCTTCCCCACGTAGCATGACCTGCTGTGTACTTACATCCTTAGCTCTCTTTTCTTATGAGCATGTATCAACCCTGTGAAACGGGAGAAACTGCACAGGAGAAGAATTATGTGGAGAAGCATCCACAGGTCTTTAAATGTAACCAACTAAAAAATTCTTTGTTAAGTGTTTATTCTTCACAAGATTTTCCTCCTACATACGTCAGGACCAGGAGACACATGCGAGCATGCCTAACTTTCTGCTAACTGCTCTAAGAACTTGATTTTGGTCTCATACAAATTCAATGCAAAAATCGTCTAGCTCTTCAACAGTGCAGAACTGTGGCACTGAAATCAGGATTATGACTGTCTATATTCAATAGCATAACACTGGTAAAAAAGAACTGTTTTCATCCATTTTCAAAACACAAGGCCAAATTTTGCTCTAATGTCAATCTGCTCTAAATACTTCTGATGTGAACTCAGTTCTTTTAAACTTGCTCTAGACTTTATCCCTTGAATAATTCTACTAGGACAGTTTGTTTTAAACCCTTTGCCAAAATCCTTACTAGGAAAAGAACTCTTACAAATAAACTTGAAGTCCAGATACCATGTCTCACACTGTAGACAGACACACACAATACGCAGAAATTATTTAGGTACAGAATAAATGTATAACCTCTCCCCCACCCCCAATTTATTTTTAGCTCTCCAAAAGTGCTGTGGCTAAAGAGCTTTGACATAATCAGTCTGAAGAGATAATCCCAGATTTAATGGTTTGCAGAACATTCTTGTATTAGAAATACATCCTCTCCGATTCTCATGTGGGGGCCAGCAATAAAAGTGAATTCAAATCTACCTCTAGGTTTTGCTTAATTGATAAAACTGAATATTAAAGGAATATTTGGAAAGCCAGCATGACAAATCCTAAATGTAAGATGTTTTCCATTTGCAAATGTTCCTGTTCAAAAGATTGATTTCACATTTTCAGGGTAATTAACAATAATTAAAGATTTTTAGGTTTTCAAACAAGTCATTGCTATCGGAGGGCAGCCAAATTTATTGTTAGAAAACAGAAGCATTTGATCTGGAAATATGTCAGTAGCTTATTCCATCTTTTTAACATTAGTAAATTGCAGGACAAATTTTAGAGCTTGGAAAAACAAAACATGAGAACACAGGGATTTTTTTGGCAAAGAAATGCTGGTGAATTATTTAAAATACCATTATAATTAACCTCCTTATGATTCTTCTTTGCAAGGAAAATGCTTTCTTATAAAATGAGAACTTTGAGACAATCTTTTAAGAAGAGAAAAATTGAAAGAAAAACTAATGGAAAAAATGCCTGTACCTTTGTTAGATTTTGAGCATTATCAAGACATGCTTTTTACTAGGGCCAAGCTCTGGAGCCTTACGGGGAATCACGAAGAGTCTTGTAGGCAATACAACTGCTGTAGGTCACTGTGCACGATGCTGAGCTACAAAGCAGTCATGGGGTATTTGAAGTTGGGTTTTTCTCCCCCCTCTTAACATGCACTGACATTCATAACACCCAGCTGAATTTTCCCAGTGCACCAGGGTTACTTAGCTTTAAAAGGAGCAATCTTGTGCAACACCCATTTGCTTGACATCTGTTCAGGAGACAAGATGCAGCCTTAAACAATTAATTGGTCAAACTCTCATAATGACAAGGGACCGTTACTCATTAGAGGCCAGGCAGGATTTAGTTGTGCCTGAACCAAGAAAGCCAAATTCTGGCCTCGTATGAACCCTTTGCTTCTCTACCAACTTGAGCAGTATTGATGATGAAAGTGAAAGCAGGTCTCTGCTCATATGAAATAACACAAACCTCAAGGTTGCTATTTTCCTCCCTAAAAGAACATACCCCATAACCTAAATGCACAGTAGTAATTTTGCTATACTTTTCATCTTTCTTATCTTACTTTTGTATTTCCCAAACTTCACTATCCTTTAGAATGCAATAATGCTCAGCTAGAGTATTGATGCTTGAGGGAGGTTTTACTGATGTGTGCCCACCTGAAAACCCTTGCAAAGCCACTGTCACAGTGTGGTACTCCTGACAACTCTGAAAGCTTTACCCTTAGAGCTTTCACTGTTGTTACTGAAATAATCATTAAATAAATGCAGCAAATAGCACTGCTAGATGCAGATGCAGTGGGCTGGAAGGGGACATACTCTATATTATCCAGAAATATATTTCATATTTTTAGTTTTCAGACTTACACATGTATCTCAGTGGGAAACTCTGAAGTTAACTGTGACAGGAGTATAACCCATCTGCTAGAGGACTAGCAATCCAGGAGACTATATGTTCCTTTGTTACACACTCATATGCAGGCCCACATACAGTGGTGGTTTGGAGGCTAATGAAAGCCAGAGCAACAGAAAAGCAAAGAACAATGCCACTAAATGAAGATCCTGAAACTTAATCCTTCATCTAGAGGTTGTATCATCTTCCCTGCTTGCTCTTGCACAGAATCTGTCTGTGTAGCTCTTTGCTGGACTACACACAGCTTTGCATGATTTGTTTTAATTACTGCCTTTGTCTTTGGTTGCTGGGACTTTCTGTTTCTGTTCCCTTTGAGCTTGGAACAGCCTCCTGCTTTGCAAAGACCTCTTTTTTCTCTTTAAAAATCACTGTCCCAAATCTTGCACCTTTGTGAAGGTATCTAGCTCTTTCATCTCTGTTTTACTCACACTTCTCTGACTTGCTAATCTAAGTCTCTTGGGCCA